GGGATGTTGAGGGTGGAAGATGTTGGAAGCAAAGACGTAAAGTTGGGGGAGTGCACAGGTGCGCTTTCTGCACTGCATTCCTTTTACGAGGCTTCCCTTTTTCTTAGAAGGGAAGCAATAGAGGGGGCGGTTGAATACTTAATACCCAGGAAAATTGCCGTCCCGGGACCAGAAACCCCCGCAACCCTCCCATCACGATCCACGTTTAACCCTCCCCCCACCTTACGAGCACGTACATCTTTATATATATATATACATGCATTGAGGGCTTACGCTTCTTTTTCTTTTCCCGACGTGCTCCTCGTCTTCTACTTTTATTTACATTTTTTGAACCGCGCCACCTCTTTGAAACAGGGCAACTAACCCACTTTGTTCGCATTCAATATTCCAGGCAAAAGCGTCCGGAAATATAATAATAATAATAACAATAAATGGATGCACGACAAGATTCCTTTAAGGGTCGGGGATTTAGGGGTCCAACAAAACTAAAGGCAACACAATACGGGGAGGCAACTGAATAAAAAAAAATATATATGAAAATAAAATAAATATAAAAGTTTCCGTTCGGCATTTCGGGCACGTTCGCGCGTGAAATTCAATTCAACAGTTGGCATCCCCTTATTGTTCCTTAATTGAGTTGACTTTTATCGAGTTGTGCACCTGCTTGTTCGAGGATTTACGGACAAAACAAGCGTAACGTCATCTGTTGCGAATCGCAAGCAAACTTATCTCATCTCCATTAGCTTCTAATTGCACGACATTAATTAATCTTAGTATTTTCCGTACGATGTTCCATCAATATTGATAATTGGGTTGCATATTGATTTGGTAATTCCAATGTAATTCACATCAAATGATATTTGAAATGCCTATACAAAAACTATAATATCTGCAACCGTTTCAGATGATTCACATTAAGTTCATTGACTGTTAAGTTCTCTGCAGGATACTAATTGAATGCCAATTGATTATTTATGTAGGTGGTAATCCTGCACTTCTAATTACACAGCTCCAAAATTAATCCCGTAATTATACTACTGCAATAATTAATCTTATTGATTTCCACGTAATCTGTATACTAATATTGATAATTGGTTAGTTAGTTGCCTATTGCATTAGTTATGTTTGCTCGATAAACTGTAAATTCATTGAAATTTACAATATATTCATTCGTACATGATACAATATATATATTCGTTATGCAATTGTTTAAGCTTTTTTTTTAAATGCAACCAATTATGCACGTTGCGAGGGAATTGCAACCATGCGAACTTGTCAGTTCGTGAACATCGAACACGACGTAATCTAATAAGGAAATTAAGCAGGTGCTCTCGCTCGCTGCAACAGTAAAATAGCGAAGAAGCGGAAAACTAACAATTAGACGCAGTCTGCACAGGCAATTGGAGCCGTCTGATCGGATTATGTAAATAATAATGATAATAAGAAGAAAAAGAAGAAGAAGTGGAAGTAGAATTGCAAAGACGAAGAGGGAAGTAGAGAGAGACGTGCGAACGTTCGCTCCCGGCGGAATGAATTTATATCCTGCCGGCGAGAAAATCGAATTAAGACTCCATCAAACAAAGTGAGTAAAATGTTTGAGAATTAAGTTAGCTAGTACAAAAGTAGAGACGAAAGGACGTTGGGAGCGAACGAAGAAAGAAAGATATATTTACTGTTTGCTCTCTTTCTTATTTTTGCTTAAATCCGGGTCAAAGGGCAGCCGTAAATTCGATCCACAATCGAAATGTATTAAAAGTGTACATCAAAATTCACCCTCGTCGAGGGATGTTTTTATTATCTCATCTGAACTCCAGCTGCGTTTTGTTGTTTTTTTTTTACGACAGATTCTGCCCTTTTTTTCGTTTTCCCCGAAACGAATGGGGAAGAGAAAAGTTTAAATCTCGTTGATTATCAATGTGTTTTTATTTTAGTCCGGTTTCGCTTCGTTTTATGACTAATTGGAAGCGGATCGATGAGAAACAGGCAGTCTAGAAATAGGCAACCCAATTGGAACTGTCCAAGTTTCTGTAATGAATTTCATATTCGATTCTGATTCAATGTTCAGTTGGTTGCATTTTTTCTATAACGTTAGAAGTACCACGTGGTACTATTCTTTAGTTTATGCTTGAAATCTGCAGAACGTTGGGGTTTAGAGTGTGAACGAAAAACGCTCATCGGACATTTAATGTAAAGAGCAACACGACCCATCGATCCCAAGTGCGACCTATATAAAAGTCTCTCGCTGAAAGGTTATTAAACGACCGACACACGCATCCAATCTATAGAAGCAGTAGCAGCAACAACAACAACAAACTAAGTTGCCTGAAATCATCAAAGGGGCATCGTTTAATGCTCAACTCGTCTGAACGTCTCAATACTTATTTTCTGTATACAATTTTTTTGTTTTTTTTTTCTTCAGCACTGAATTCGAACGATATTTTTATTGAATTGCGCTTTGATCGCCGCCTTCTGCGTCTTCTACCGGCCCTCTCAAACCGTCTCGAGTCCCCTTTCCCTCCGCAAACGATGTCGACGTTTCGGAGCGGCGGCCCGGAAAAGCGATTATGTTTGAAAAAGCTGGGTCGGACGGAAAAAGGTTTTCGGGTCTCCTCCTCCTCCTCCACCTCTTCGTTCCGTATTTCTGAAAAGCGGCCTTTCAGTGCGCATTGCATTTTTCAACGGATAACGACGGCAATAAGGAAACAAATCTGCGGGAATCAAGCCGTGACCCGAAACACAAACCAACCGATATGCCCTCATTTATTTTTCAGAAAACATTACCCTCGCACAGCGCCAAGATAGATAAGACGCACGATTATGCAACGCTGTACAATTTTTCTATTTTGACAGAACAATTGATGTTCTTTTATTTTTTTTGTTAGTTCACCCAATGCAAACATTTTGTCTCGTTTCTTCTCCATTTTTTTTTTCGTAATACCAACTGAAGTAATTGCGTGACCCGAATTCGCATAAATTGAAACGGAAAACATATGTAACCAGAAAAAAAGAGGAATTATTACCGCGAAAACGGCTAAAAGGAATGGCGAAACGGCGTGGAGAGTGCAATCATAAGCTTTTTTTTTTCTCTCCTAAATTTCGCTTCGCATAGTTTGTTTTTACTTTTCTTTGCCTGCTGTTGGTATTATTTATTTAGTATGCACTCGTTTCATTGCGTTTTCCATTTACATTAAAATATGTTTGTTGATATGGAAACGCGTAAATCGATTATGTTTTACGTCGCTTCTTTTTTTTTTCGAACGAGATGTAGTTTTTTTTTCTTTGCGGTTGGCAATGGTGGAAGTGGGCAATGAGGAAATGCCGGTTGATGGATTGAAACCTCAGCGCGGCTGCAAAGCCCGTGCAAATCCAGATCAATTGGCCGATATTAGTCATTGTAATGCAATAGTCCACGTCTCTCCAACTATCACCTATTTCAGTTTTCATATATATATATTCTTTCGTTTTACCAACCTTACACATTGCTTTGTCAAACAAAATCCTTAAGCTTAGGCAACTTCAGACGTCCAATGGATACGTCCAATACGAATCTTTTATCATTTAAAAAATGATTGTTACGTTACCATAGTAATCAACCAAACAACAGTCAAATTTTAGTTTGTTACAAATGACATGGAACCTTATTTTTTCTTATGTTGTCGTCATGTAAAACATAACCTTTATCTCAAAATGTAGACAATTTTGTATACATATAAAATTAAGAGATTTCGTCAATATATTGTAACAGATTCTAGTAATTATTAAATACTCTTTATGTTAATTGAATATAAATCAATGGATTCTTGACAAACTGAGATAGATGGTGAAGTATGCAATGTGTAAGGTGGTTTGCAAATTGGGTTGCATAAATGAGACACCTAACGTTTAATCATTGAATAGGCGAATATTGCAAATTAGTACTCCGTTCGGCACGCATATGAGACGTTGAGTAATTAGTGGAACTTGGAGGACTTGTTGATGAGGATAGGGATGAAGAGGATGAGTAGGAGGAGGTCGTTCGGTTTAATCCTGCCGCAGTCGATGAGCGCATTTGTGGGGACGTTGAGAAATGGCGCGGTAAATGCGAAAATGATATGTAGATGGTCTTTATGCCCGGCGCGGGATTAATTTGCGAGCAGCTACTGTTTCTATATGTATGTGTATATGTATGTGCAAGAGAGAGATAGAGAGTGAGAGATGAAACCGGGCGAGATGAATGTGCGGATTATGTAAATTCGTTTTCTAATTTGCGAAGTGAATTTGCGGCATGGGAATAATGCGAGTGAACGAGAGAGAGAGAGAGAGATAAAGCATCTCGCTTCTCGCCTACTCTTTATATATGCAGAGTGTAAATATTTCATGGCTTCTACGATGATGATGATGATGGCGGTGGTTGCGGCGTAGGTGTGTATCGTAGGTAAATTCCTCGTCTCGTGCTCATAAAAACAATACGGATCAGGTGCGAACGTGCTCGTAAAGGCCATTAAACCTCCCCCTAAAGCGCCATCTATGTTCCATTTTCTCTCATCCCCTTTCGCCGACCAGAAGATAAACCGCCTTTTATCTTTATTACCGGTCGAAGCTCCTTTATGTTGTTCACGACTAGACACGTTCTGCACGCAAAAGAAGACAAAAAAAAAGGAACCATGATTGATTCGGAAGTTGATTTTCAGTTGGCAGCGAGCGATATATAACCAAGTAACAAGAGTGGTTAGTTAACTATTTAAGCTACTGCTGCTGCAACCAAATGATCCTACATTCCCGCACATCACCGACGTCAATTATGCAACCAATTATTCTCTTCACATTTTAGTGATTTGAATAGTTAACACTTGTGTTTTCACAATGTAGTGATTTTCTCTAAGATACTACGTTCTTTTGTTTTCAGTTGTTAAGCAAAAGTACGACATCCAAGTGCACGACGAATACGTAATAGGTGGTAATACGGCCGTGCTGAAGTGCAAGATACCCAGCTACGTCAACGACTACGTGATGGTCACCTCCTGGGTGCAGGACTCTGCGATCAACATCTACCCGAACACGGACATTGGTGGTAAATACGTGGTGCTTGCAAACGGTGACCTCTACATAAGCAACGCAGGACCAGGAGACGGCTACAAGAACTACGCCTGTCGCACCGTGCACAGACTCACAGGTAAGTCAAAAAAAAACAAATAAAAGAGACAACTTGATACAAATTAAATAAAAAAAACATTTGAAGATTCACAGTTTCTGTACAATTTTCACCAGAGTGCGCGCGTTTGCAATCCCTGTGCTTTTGGCTTCCCCCAGGATCGTGCGGTTTAATTGTTCCGCAAACAATTCTGGAACTCGCTTAGCGCCCGCAGCAAATTTGCCGTCCCCAGAGACTAAAGTAGACAGAAAGATGAAGAGTGTTAGAGAGAGAGGTATATTCTGAAATCCATATTGTTCCGGTTTAAAACTTTTCGCTCCCTAATCGCCGATTAAACCGCTTATTAATTGCCAGATGAGTATCACGGAGTGCAAATAAACCCTTTTGTAGATTTTGGGGGAAATCTCAAGTTTGCCACGTAGACGGATAATGTTTTGCAATATATGCAACCCTACAATCGTAGTTGAGTTTACTTAATTCAGTTCTAATTATTATACTTTTTTCATACAAGATTATGTACCTTTGGTTGCATATCAAGAATTGTTGGCGCCATCATATATTGAAGTTGTTTTGCAAATGTTAGCAGTAGTTGATTATAATAATAATGGACTGTTACATTTTGCGAAGGCAATAATATTTTATGTGCGAGGTAGATTTACCTGGGAGAGTAGTTGAGTTTGGCAGAGATGGAGGATCGAGGACGAAGTGGCAATTTATTTATCGCGAAACTTTATTACTATCTCTCTCTCGTTCTCCATCATACACGTTATCGCTCCATCTTTACGTCTCTCTTTTGATGCTCACAAAACGGTCGTGTGAATTTGCAATTTGAAGATTCATTTCCCTCGAGAACGATTTATGTATGTAAGACAATTGATGGAATTGTTCGTTAGGCGAGGTGCAGATTAGCTCGTATCCGGGAAGGGTCATCGTCACCGAGGCCAAGGACACGGTGCAGCCGAGGATCACGGTGGACAAGTACAATGCTCGTCGCATCGCTCTCGGAGAGGACGTCACGTTGCCGTGCGTTGCCCAAGGTTATCCCATTCCCAGTTACTACTGGAAACGCGAACTGCAGGGCCAGAGTGTACCTGTTGCGCTCGGCGAGAGGCTCACCATCCTCACAGCCGGACTCCTAAAGATCTCCAAGGTACGGCTCCATCTATCCAACGCAACGAGTAACCAAAATTTGACATTGTAGTTGCATACCTTTGGAGTTGTTCCCAACTTATAAAAGTTACATATTACCCTAATTAATTTTGTAATGTTTCTTTGATTATTGTAGGTGCGTTTGGAGGATCGAGGTATATACATGTGCTACGCCAATAATTCTGCAGGAGAGGAAAGTGTTCGGGTAACCTTGGAGATAACAGCTCCTTTATCGGCGCACGTGCAGCCGCAAGTTCAAGTGGTTGACGTTGGTAAGCAGGCGAGTTTCCAATGTATAGTGGGTGGGCATCCCGTGTCGCAGATAAGTTGGTTGCATAACGGGAAACCTATTGCGCCTGACAACAGGGTGGAAGTGATGGTGGAGCCACCTAGGCTGACCATCAGGCAGCTATCCAAAGACGATCGAGGCATGTACCAATGCATGGTGAGCAACAACTGGGATCAAGCCCAAGCCACAGCTGAACTGGACATGGGCGATGCCGGCCCCGAATTGGTCTACTGGTTCTCCGAGCAAACACTTCAACCGGGTCCGACAGTTTCTTTAAAATGCGTCGCTTCTGGAAACCCTCCGCCCCAATTCACTTGGACATTAGATGGTTTTCCAATACCCGATCATCCTAGATTCTTGGTTGGACAGTACGTCACTATACAAGACGATGTTATAAGTCACGTGAACGTAACGAATATCAAAGCTGAGGATGGTGGCGAATACACGTGCACCGCTCACAATTCGGTGGGGAAGATTGCGCACAGCGCCAGAGTTAACGTGTTCGGATTACCATTCATAAGGCAGATGCCGAAGATAACGGGCGTAGCAGGAAGCAGCCTCATTATCAAGTGCCCTGTGGCCGGATATCCGATCGAGACGATCAGCTGGGAGCGAGAAGGACAAATTTTACCAGTCAATCGTAGGCAGAGGGTTTACGCTAATGGAACCCTCGTCGTCGAGCAAACTCAAAGGAAAGAAGATGCCGGAACTTACACTTGTCAGGCGCAGAATCGACAGAGGAATTCCTCCAGGCGCGATGTCGAAGTGCAAGTGATCGGTGAGCGATAGATTTCCCCCGAGGTTCCATCCTTTGTCCTTTGTTTAATTGTTTTTTTTTTTCAGTGCCTCCCAAGATCCTTCCTATTAATCCGATGACGGATCTGCTGAGGGAGGGAATGCGGGCGGCGATAACGTGTCAGATTATGGAGGGCGATCTTCCAATCAACTTCCGGTGGGAGAGGAACGGAAAACCGGTTTCGAACAACGTCGCTTTGGGGACGGTCGTACGACGCATCGATGAGTTCTCTTCTTCGTTGGTCATCGATCAGGTGTCTTCCGCACACACCGGAAATTACACGTGCATCGCGAGCAACGTGGCAGGCGCCGAACGATACGTCGTCCCTTTAACGGTGAACGGTAACAAATCACGATTGCCACGAAACTCTTCGTTTTTCTTTAACATTTGTTTATGGCAGTTCCACCCAGATGGACGGTGGAGCCTTCAGATTCGAACGTGGCGGCAGGACAGGAGGCGACGCTCAACTGTCAAGCCGACGGTTACCCGACACCTGCGATCACTTGGAAAAGGGCTGTTGGTAAATGTGTAATAATAATATTTTGACTGACTTTAACAACTTTTCACATTAAACAGTTTTGTTTTTTTTTTAATTATCCACATATTCCAAATAATGATATGTTGTTATGTGTACTCTAGGAAGTCAACCTGGTGAATACAAGGATTTTATGTTTGAGCCAAACGTGCATCAGTATCAGAACGGTTCGCTCAGTTTCTCTCACGTCTCGAAGGAGAACGAAGGTCAATATCTGTGCGAAGGGAAGAACAACATCGGAACTGGCGTGAGCAAAGTGATCTTCCTCAAAGTGAATGGTAAGTGGTAAATGGTAAGGACGACGAAGGATCGCGATCGGTACTAATTTTGAGCGGCGATGATTTTAAGCGCCCGCTCATTTCCCGCAAAAATCGAAGCAGATTCAGGTGGTGAAGGGAGAGCAGGCGCATCTCCAGTGCTCAGCAATCGGCGACACTCCGATGGAGATCATGTGGAAGATGGGTGGACAGCAGATTGCCAACGAGATCGATCAGAGGTACAGCATCAGGGAGCAAACGTTGGCCGAAGGAATGGTCTCGGAATTGGGCATCGAAAGAACCATAAGACAGGACACCGGGGTCTTCACTTGCTCAGCTTCGAACGCTTACGGCCAAGATAAAATGAGCATTCAACTGATCGTGCAGGAGATCCCCGAGTTCCCGAAGAACGTGCGCGTCACCGAACAATTGAGTAGATCCATAGGGATTTCTTGGACGCAACCGCACGCCGGCAACAGTCCAATCAGTACGTACATTGTGCAGTTCAAGCAGGGATCTGAATCTTGGCCGGCTCAACCTTCGAAGGTCTCCGTTCCCGGCTCGCAGACATCGACGACGGTCGAGAATTTGAAACCTTCGCAGATTTATCACTTGAGGATTTTGGCTGAAAATCGACTAGGATTGAGCGAGCCGAGTCAGGTGGTGCAGGTGAGCACTCTGGAGGAGGTCCCGAGTGGCACGCCGTTGGATGTTAGGGCGGAAGCGAAGAGCTCTTCGGAATTGATGGTAACCTGGGAACCGCCACCTAGAGATAGCTGGAACGGGAATCTCCTTGGTTACCACGTCGGTTACCAAGTGATATCCAAGGACACGCAGAATTCCAACAAGTACACGTTCAAAAGCGTCGAAGTGCGACCTCATTTCGGAGGTGAGGCAATCCTGCAGAGTCTTCAGAAGTTTGCAACTTACAGCATCATTGTTCAGGTAAGAATTCAAAGTTAACATTATCATTCATTTAAGCTAAGATTATTATTTTGTAGGCTTACAACAGTAGAGGATCCGGACCTGTCAGCGAATCTGTGACTTCACGAACTTTAGAGGATTCTCCTTCGTTACCACCGGATAATCTGCAATGTTCCGTGCTCAGCGCTCAAAGCCTCCTAATTTCCTGGGAACCTCCATTGGCGGAAGGACGAAACGGCGTTATTCAAGGCTACAAGATCACTTACCATTCTGTGGGTGAATGGTTCGATAATGATGATCAGCAAACGAAAGTCATCACGCAACTGCGAACAACCATTTCCGGTTTGAGGAAGTACACTAACTACTCGATAACTGCTCTGGCATACACCGCAACGGGTGATGGAGTTCGATCTGAACCTGTCTACTGTCACACCGAAGAGGACGGTAAAGATAACAACACATCTGCAATTGCATTTGATTATTCTTTCGTGTTGACACACAGTTCCATCAGCGCCAGAGGAGATCAAGGCCGTTCTAAGCGGCTCCAATCGTATACTAGTTTCGTGGCTTCCGCCCAAGTTCAGCAACGGCCCTTTAACCGGATACACTTTCTACATGAGCACCCTGGTGGATGGGAAGGAAGAGGGCACCAACAAACGGGTGCTCAGTCCTGCGACGGAGATGCACGAGACAGTGAGGCTGCAGGACACGGCCACCTGCCAATTCTGGGTCACCGCCTCGACAAGGGTATGTGAATGCTCCTTTTATTTACTTTTTTCAATTTTTTAGTGTATATTTATTTTCAAATTTAAGAGAAATGTCCTTGAAGCGAGCAGCACCATTATTTCTCTTTTCTGTATAATTTCAATTAGCAATTCAGCAAGTAGTGCATGTATCTGAAATTGTGATCGCTCGGTAAATTTATTTTCCGTTCTACGCTTTCTCACTCAACTCAACTCAACAACTACCCCCTTCGAGCACTCGCACTCATATACGTACACACCACCGAAACTGCAGCGATAAATATATTCAAACGAAACTTTCCGGGCGCTTCATTAAAATTCATACAAACTATTCCAATTACAGTTTGAAATAGCGGCTGCTGCAGCCGCCTCCTCCCTCCATCGCATTACTCATTTGCCTGCGGAATGTGATCTACTGGGAGAACACAAATTTTATAATATAATATGATATGAATTAAAAAAAAAAAAAGTTGGTTCATTCAATGAATACGGAATTAACGAGCGGAAGTTTTTCAGGTGGGTGAAGGGGAAAGCACTAGAGTCGTGACGGTGTCTCTGTCGAAGACTGTACCAGCGAGGATCGCTTCCTTCGGAAGAGATGTTATCAGCGCTTGGAAGCAGGACATAACGTTACCTTGCAAGAGGGTTGGAAGTCCACTTCCGACGCCCGTTTGGAGATGGAACGATCAGGCTTTGGAGGTTGGTGGTCGCAGGATCATCACTTCCAATGCTACGCTTATTATCAAGGATGTGCAGAGCGTCGATCAGGCCAATTATTCCTGCAGCGTTGAGAATCAGTATGGAAGGGATACAGTTATTTACAATTTGAGGGTGCTGGTGCCTCCGGAACCACCGGTTCTTGCAGTCATCGATTCCTTTGCGGATAGTCTGAATCTCAGGTGGAGCGATCAAAAGAACGGAGGTTCTCCTATTCTCGGGTACGTTATTAACTACAAGAGGGATCACGGCGATTGGGAAGAGCTGCAAATCTCCGCACGCACCGACGAGCACATGTTGAGGAACCTCTGGTGCGGTACAATGTATCTGCTATACATCACGGCCTACAACAGAATCGGCACAGGATTACCATGCGACATAGTCACAGCACACACAAAAGGAACAGGTACTTCACACATTTTATCTATAGTTTTTCATACTACCAACCACACAAATTATTTTTCAATTTGGCAACCAGATATACTTAAATGTCGTCTAACACATAATAATTTACATCATAATATTTATAATGCTGCAACCACATATGCATTTAGTTTTTTTTTTGTGGAAATATTAATTATATTGCCAACTTAAGATTAAAAAATCTATTGGAATATTATATTTTATCTATATATATATTTTGTTTTGGTTATTGTTAAGTTCCGGTGAAACCGAAGCAATCGCAGATGCTGACGATGAACGCGACCGTGGTGACCGTATGGCTGGACTCGTGGGGTGACGGCGGTTGCGGTATCCTATACTTCGCCATCGAGTACAGAAGTCTGCGGCACATGTCGTGGATCATGGCCTCGAATCACGTGAAACCGACGGAGAGGATATACAGCATCACCGAGCTGTGGCCTGCTACCGAGTATCAGCTCAAGGTGACCGCGCACAATAACGCCGGTGATTCCCCTGCCATCTACAATTTCACAACCTTAACTTTACTTGGAGGTATTGTATCTGTCAGCTGTTGTTGTTTTTTTTTATTTGATTTGTGTCGTTTTGTATTTGCAGTTGCTCCAGAACTGGCGCCACCTGTCTCGCATTCCGGTGATCATCCTCTAGCGAACGCGCGCGTTTGGGTGCCTATCATCCTCTCGATTTTGGTGCTCGTCGCTCTTGTGGCAACACTGTTTTGGCGTAGAAGTAAGTTAATTTAAAGCAGAGTTTTCCAAACCGTGAGGCGCGTCTCTCTGGGGAGGCGTGGACTAGTCTAATAATAATAGATAGAATGAATCCAATATATGCATATGAAAGCTGAATGTTTGGGGAATCCAGCAAGTATTGATATATTACTGTGATTTTATCCGTTTGGCTGTAATTCGCGTTCAAAGTTGAGAAAACAATCGAAAAAGCAGTGTTTTTACATTTCATTGATTTTGTCGAAAACTGTAATAGATAGAATGAATCCAAAAGATGCATATGAAAGCTGAATGTTTGGGGAATCTAGGAAGTATTGATATATTACTGTGGTTTTATCCGTTTGGCTGTAATTCGCGTTCAAAGTTGAGAAAACACTCGAAAAAGCAGTG